ATGGTCTCTTCATGCATGCGTGGGTTTTCTCTGGGTGCTCCTGTTTCCTCCCACAGACCAAAAATAATAATAAAAAAAAAAAAGAATGATAAGCTAATGGGTAAATTGTCTGTAGGTGTGAGTGAGAACGTGAATGCTTGTTTGTCTCTATGTGGCCCCGTGATGGACTTGCGACCTGTTCAGGGTGTACCCCRCCCTTTGCACTGACTGCTGGATATGGGCACCAGTGATATGGACCTGTGACCTTGAAAGGAAGAAGTGGGCTAAAAYACTGGATGGATGGTGCTTAAGTCAAAAGTCTATTTACTAATTATAAAAGACACTTCACTTACATGTCATTTATTTTTGAGAAAAATGATGCCTGGGGGTTTCTGAGTAAGGATTAAATGATCTCATTATTCTGATGATCAGGTCTTTGTTAGATGTTTGCTTACACACCCTTCAAATGAAGCTGTACTTTATATGTCATTGTCTGATGCATCCGTGTTGTTTGCTTTCCTCGCCYTTTGCAGGCAGTGGGATGGTCCATCCTCCTGTTCCTGATCATACTGGGAGCAATGGGACACCTCATCAAGCCCTGCTTTGAAGAACACACCAGCTTCTTGCAGACGCGCTACTGGAGCAACTACCTCGACGTGGAGCAGAAGCTTTTTGACGAAACCTGCGTCTTGCACGCTCACGACTTTGCCAGAAAATGTGTGGTGCAGTTCTTCGAGGACATGAGGGAGGACGCCGTACTCCGTCTCCCGCACCCACCTTTCGTTTGCAACAGTAGAGAGGGGTGGGAGGACGAAGAGGACAGACTTCATGGGGTAACAAAGGAGGATCCGAAGAACCAGCTGCTCAATAAGTGGTACTACAGTAAACCTGAGCTGGATGTGACTAGGATTRTCCACAGACCAAAGACCTGTGTCACCTGGGAGGACCTGGACGGGAAGACTTTATACTCTGATGTGTAGAATAGACTCAGCAGTGAGAATTACTTCTGCTTTTGGTGATCATAATAAATGTAGGTTACCTTAGTTTAGAAGTGACGCTGCGTTTGATTTGTCTTGGATATCAGAACTCTTTCCTTGGATTGACAAACATTTCATTCTGCCTGAAAGGAGGTAACTCTAGTAGGGTTTGCTCTGACTGCAGTGCACATGTCATTGGTAGTACTAAAATTTAAACACAATATCAATATATTTGCTATACCAGCTTCATGAATTTATTGTGTTTCAGACTGACAGAAAGTCTTTTAAAAAACTTAGAATTGTCTTTTATTGAGACAGTCATGTTGAATTTTGGATTTGGAGCTGACTAAATAG